GCTTATAGGCAGATTGCCTATAGACGTAGACTTTGTATGGACAAGTATAATGAAATATGGGACTCATTTTTACAAAATACAGTAGATTAAGAAAAAGCACGATAGTAGTAGAAGTGTATGTATGTGTATACACACACACACACATATATACACACACATATATACACTCACATACTATTTGCATTAGAGAAATATATATAGAATTGTAACTGTTTATTGTTGTAACAACGTACTTTACGTTTTCATTATTATTACTTTTTCTGTTGTATTTTTTCCACTTATTTTTTTAAGCACTTGTGTAATTTTTTTGAGAGTCTTACATCTTAAACTTTGTTTTCCAGCACTACATTTTTTTCTTACTTTTTGTAATACAGCAAGAAGCGTCTACATTATTTTTTAGTTTTATTTTTCTGCTTTCCCTGACTGTAGCTGAGCACTATTTGCTCTGTCAAAATGAATGGCTTTTTGAAAGTCCATGCTTCCTCCCTTTCTTGTCTTTCATTGCGATGAATGTCCTAAATTCCCCAGGTGAACTGAAGATTCTGTGTAGCTGCTAATTGTAACTATTGTATTCCAAGTGACTGGTTGCCTTGTATGCCATTAGCTTCAAATGCCTTTTAACAAATTGCACTACAGTAATTTGTTGTTATAGTTTCATTACTGGCCTTCTAGAAGGCATAAGGCTCTTTTATAACCAATTCCTAACAGAATTGGCACTATAGGATGCCCCGGTTTGTAGCACTGCTAAATTTTTAAGTGAAAACATTCACTGTGGGTGGGCTTCATGATTTTTCTCAACATTTTTGACCAAACCCCTTTATCCTCTCTTTTCCCCAGGTGCTTCTTCCTCTCCCCCCAGGCGCAGGTCCGAGAGGATCTTGTCCTCCTCAACTCATCCAGTGTCCCAGGGCAAGCCCAGTGGGGTAGCCAGGAAAATGACAGACAGCCCGGTATGAGAAAAGCTTTGTTGTATTCTTTCATTTGTTCTTTATGAATTTAAAATTCTGCTTGGGTTGTGGTGCATTGTGCAACCCGTGTTTGGGTTGTGGATACTTGTTCAGGTTCTCTGAAAGGATGGGATGTATTCTAGAGAAACAAATCTCAGATTCTGTCTTCAGCAACAGTCTGTGTGTTTTAAAACTTTATCTTTTTATGCTGCAGAAGTATATAAATATATGAAACAGTGTTTCTCAACCTTGGTGAGTTTAAGATGGGTGGACTTCAACTCCCAGAATTCCCTAGCCAGCCGGCTGGGGAATTCTGGGAGTTGAAGTCCACCCATCTTCAAGTGGCCAAGTTTGAGAAACACTGATATAAATACATATAAAGAAATTCTCTCCCAGCTGGATTTTTCTTTACCATTCTGAATTTTTTTTCTGTCTTTGTAGTGTCCAGGTCCCTCTGTGATGCGCACAATAACTCTGAAAAAGATTAAGCCACGGAATCAGCTGGTACGTGGAGGTGTGCAGTTGTATGAACCCTTCCATGCATACTTAGTCTTTCCATGGTCTTAGGTCAGATTAACTACATATCTCATTTGTTTCTTTTCTCAACCACTCCCCAGGTTCAGGTCAAAGACAGTGCTTTAATTCCTCGCCGGAGTCCAAGGGTAAGCATGGAGCCATTGTAATTCATGTAGAGAATTAAAATAATGTGCCTTTGACAAGGTCTGCAACCTTTAAGTTGCCTGGCCTTCCCCAAGATGGCTGGGGGATTCTAGGAGTCGAAGTCTGACTCATCTGGAGGCTTCCAGGTTGGGGGAGGTTGATGAGACAGTGTGGAATTAATGATTCTGTGAGTGATTAGAATGTTTGATTTTGTATTATTTATCCTGAGTTCTCCAACAGAGAATGTCCTGATGTGTATTCATGAATTATTTATTTATTTATTTATTTATTTAT